CGTTTTTCTTTAGCTTATTCAGCTCAGCCGTCAACACTGCGACTACGCTGGACTCCGCCATCTTGAAATCTAGGCGGGTTAGTAAACAGATTTCAATTTCGTGTCAAAACTTTATTCCAGTTTTGTTGGTCGTGAGGCCAAATGGCCGAAATGTTTTGCATGTTCTCAAAGTAGATATACTACAGTATTGGTATGGGTTTTCGAATTCATTCCATTGGTGGTGGGCTTGGCATGGGTGAAATTATTTATCTGCTTCTGAATTTTTATCTCCTCTTCCAATATGAGATCTATCGATGACTGGGGTCTCTTCAAACTCGATAACCTGGGTACCTTCTCTAAGTGCATGTTCCGCTAGTGCTAATTTTTTGTTATTATTCAGGCGACAATTTCTTATGTTTTCTGAAAGCCGGGTACTTTCCAAATCCCGTTAGAAACATCATTAGTCAAGTGTATTTGTTATATTTGTTGTTGAAGAATCCACAAAGACGTAATGATACTATTTCACTCCTCCACGAATAAATTCAATGGATTGTTTGGGATATTTCTTTGGCCTAGGCCGCATTACAGCACCGCGTCTGATTTTGAAACCGCGACTTATTACAGAATGACTAGCGGAAGAAACCGCGCCAAAATTTGTAGTTCATAAAACTTATATTGGAGCGCACACATTTAATGCGGCACCATTGTCTAAGGATATAGACAATGGCGGCACATTATTCGGCACACCGCCATGAAGAGTCGCCCTCTTCTGGTGAAATACATAAGACAAAATGTTGTGTTCATGTAAATGATGTGTGGACGTACAATATGCAAAATTTTATCGAAACTGGCTAGTGAAATCTGATAGAGTAATTGAACAATTGCTCAGGATATTTTCCTAAATCTTGATACTTTTATAAAAGAAACCTTTCTTAAATCTTCGGCTAGTCAGAGGATGGACCTAATATTTGCGAAATTTTTGATGACGTTTTCTTTTTCTGCTTCTTAGTATTAGAGCAACAACACATACAGCTCTCTTGAAATCCATCTTCAAAATGAAAATAGTATCCAGTTTCGCGGTTTTTAATCGTAGTGCGTGCATCTCGGGCGGTTTTGCGGTTTACTTGCGGAAAAAATCGTAGTGCGGCCTCGGCCTTTGTTCAGAATTTTTCTGTAACATGTAAACTGAGTTCTCATTATTCCTATAAATCTGTTTTCCATTGACATTATTTATCACCCATGATCTGAAGTATGAGTACTAAAACAATTAAATATGAGTCAGGCTTCATTAATTTCCCGTTCGCGGTCACTTTTTTCCACTCCATTAATGCGTATTTACTTACTATAGCCTAGAGCATGTGTACCAGAAAAAATGGCAATGTCTTTCAGGATCTCACAAGAAAAGATGGATATCTAATTCTACGTGAAGAAACTATTTGAATAACGTCAAGGTCTGCCCGACTATAAAAACGTTGTTACATTGATATTCGCGAATGGTCGTGAACATGGGCGTATTCAGAGGATATTTTCTCTTCATTTGGTGAGATAGTAATACCTTGTAATCCAGTCATTTAAGCTTGAATTAGGTAAGAATCTGGGAATTCGAGATACCCAGCTGTAAGTCTGTAAATACTTGTATATTGACACCCTAAAAGTTGTCTCAAAACCTACATATGGTAGGGTGTAAGCAACTATTAAATTTCAAGGTCAAAGGTCACAAAAATCGGTTTTTTGCGCTTTTTTTGGAAATATCTCATTTCCTATGGGTTTTTTGCTATTTGTATT